TTTTTTTTTTTTTTTTTTGGTTTTTCAAGACAGGGTTTCTCTTTATAACCTGGGCTGTCCTGGAACTCACTCTGTAGACCAGGCTGGCCTCGAACTCAGAAATCTGCCTGTCTCTGCCTCCCAGGTGCTGGGACTAAAGGTGTGCGCCACCACTGCCCGGCGATAGCTTTCCTTTTAAATAGATGTCTGTTAAGAAGGGTTTTGGGGAATGGTGTTTGTGTGTGTCAAGGTACACATGTGTTTGTGTATATATGTGTGTGTGAAGGTATACATGTATGTGCATGTGTTCGAGTGTGTATGCCAAAGGTTTGTTGTTTATCAGCTGTCCACCCTTTTTTTTTTTTTGAGGTCTCACTGGGACCTGGGCCTTGCAGACTGGGTGGCCAGCAAACCCCACGGATTCTCTTGTCTCTTCCTTCTTAGCACTGGGATTTAACACCTCTATTTTTGTATGGGTGCTGAGTTTCTGATCAAACTCAGGTTTTCATGCTTGTACAACAAGCGTTCACTGACTGTTTTTCTACCCCACTATAGGTTTGTTTGTTGGTGGTGGTGTTTTGTGACATGAGGACTGAATGCTGGGGTTGTACATGATGTGCACGTGCTCTGTCACTGAATTACATCACCAGTCATAAAAACGTTACACTTGGCTGAGTATGATGGTGCACACTAACAGTAGTCTCAGCAATTGAGAGGCTAAGGCAGGAGGATTTCTGTGAGTTGAAGGCCATCCTATTAAATAGGAAGACTCTGTCTCAAAAAAGCAAAGCAAAACAAGACAAAAACATTGGCAGAGGGAGGAAGGGAGACTGAAGAGATAGCTCAGTGGTTAAGAGCACTTGGTGCTCCTGCAGAGAAGCCCACCTTTAGTTTCCAGTACCCATGACAGGCAGCTCACAGCCATGTGTAACTGTAACTACAGCTCTAGATCTGACATCTGCTCTGACCTCCACCGATACCTGTACTCATGTGCACACACTCATGCGTATACACATAATTTTTAAAGTAATAAAAATAAATATTTCTTTAAAAAGATTTTAGTCAAAGGGCAACTTAATTAGCACAATTATAAGGTTAATGTGTTATGTGCTAGTGGGAGAATTCAGTTCACCATTGGAACTGAGCTTCTGTGAGTCTGCATCAGAGTGACCTCCAGTGAGCAGTGTGTGGTGAAGCTGGAGCACCGTCAGGGATGGGCGGTCTTCAGTGAGCATTCCAGCTGCCTCACTGTGCATTGTTTCAGGAGTTACATGCCATCTTCCCATGGCTGGTGGAGAGCATCTTTGGCAGCCTGGATGGTGTCCTTGTTGGTTGGAATCTTCGATGCCTACAGGGACGTGTGAACCCTGTGGAGTACAACATAGCAATGGAATTTCTAGACCCAAGGTATGTAGGTTTACTACTTGAGAAGGGCTGAGTGCTTCCTCATGTGACACACTCCTCCCCGTTTTAAATTTTATGTTTAGTGGCCCAATGATGAAGCTGGTTTATAAGCTTCAAGCTGAAGACTATAACTTTGACTTTCCTGTCTCCTGTCTTCCTGTAAGTAAGCCCTGGTGGTAAGTAGCACTGAGTGGAGAGGGCCCAGGTGGGAAGCTGTGCTGTGTGGGTGGGCAGAGTATTGTTTTAAAAAGCTCATTAGAATCATTGGTGGACACAGGGCGGTGGTGGCGCATGCCTTTAATCCCAGCACTTGGGAGGCAGAGGCAGGCGGATTTCTGAGTTCGAGGCCAGCCTGCTCTACAGAGTGAGCTCCAGGACAACCAGGGCTACACAGAGAAACCCTGTCTCGAAAAACCAAAAAAAAAAAAAAAAGAATCATTGGTGGAGATGTTGCTCTGTGGTCTGAGGAGCAAGAAGCCTGAATGACTGCAGTGCTTTGCTTTCCAGAGGCCTCAGACCTTCAGGGCAAGTTGAAGTGTGATGCTCAGGAGGAGATAGACTCAAACACATCCAGTTCTTACCCTTGTGTGTGTGTGAAGCTTTATGACTAGAGGAAAAATTCTAAACCATTCTCTCCGCAGCAGACAGACACTGTTCTGCTTTGTTCCATAAAGTAGGGTTTATGTGTTGGTGTCTGCCTCAGCAGCCTCCCCCATAGTGCTAGAACAGCTGAAGGTCACCATGCTGTTGACTGCCTCTGTTTGCAGGGCCCTGTGAAGGCATCCATTCAAGAGAATGTCCTCCCTGACAGTCCTCTGTACCACAACAAGGTCCAGTTTCCCCCAACTGGAGGCCTTGGTTTGAACCTGGCCCTCAGTATCCTTTGATGACCCATGGTGTGGGAGGTGTGGGGCCAGCACACTGTGGAAGGTGACCTCTGCATTTGCCCCTTGACTCTCTGATCAGATCCATTCGAATACTATATGTTCTACTTTGCTTTGAGCCTCATCTCTCAAAAGGTACAGAAGGGAGAACTCTTGAGTGTGGCTTGTTGTACAGATCCCACAGTGAAGGCCCAGGGCCTGTGATGGCCACTGATTGGAGCACTAACAACAATGTTTGTTTTCTAGCCAATGCCTGTGTCCCTTCATGTTCGTACTTCAGACTGCGCCTATTTCATCCTGGTGGATAGGTACCTATCGTGGTTCCTACCCACTGAAGGCACCGTGCCTCCACCACTCTGCTCCAGTCCAGGAGGCTCCAGCCCCTCACCAGCTCCCAGGTAAGGCTGCCTTGACTATTAAGACCTGGTTCTTCTATGGGGAGTGGCTTCATTAAAGGCATTGCCCAAGCATTGCTCAGTTAAGTATTGGCATCCATGTTCAAGGTTCAAGTCTCAACTTCTCTTGCCCTAGCAAAGACAGGAGTGGGAAAACTTGTCTCTGGCTTCATTGACGTAGTCAGGAGCCCTCAATGGCAGATGGGGTCTGAGTCCTACCAAAGCAGTGAGTTGAGTGGAGGCGGAGGGATGCTTGTAGAAATCAAGGGGAGAGCCTGGGCTGAAAAGCTGTTTGTGCAGGCCACACAAGATAAGCCTTATGCTGCATTGCACAGTTGGAGATGTGTCACCCCTGTAGCTTGAGAGTGGCTCGGTGCCTCTCTAGCTGTTTGTTCTAAGCTTTTGGTGAGCCTTTAGCCCAGAGCCTTTAGGTCCATTCTTAGGAACCCTTCTGCCACAACAGGAGTTGTTGAAGCTCCTCTGCTCCCTCCCTGACTTCACTGTCCCACTACCTGCTCTAGGAGGCTGTAGGCAGGCACTGGTGCATTGTTTTGGTCCAGCCCATGTACCAGGTCTTGCCTTCATCTAAATAAAACTCACTCTGTGGGGAGATGCCCTCAAAATATGGAGAGAGACTTGGGAAGTGAGGCTTCTGAGGTGGTCATGGCCCATAGCTGGTGACCTCACTCTGCTCTCTGGCAGTGCTGTAGCTGGGGAGAGGGGCTTGAAGGTCCAGTAAATCGTATCCACTCCAAGGCAGAATTCAGGGCCTAACTGATTCATACGGACCTAGTGTGTTGGCGTGTTTTGGCTTTTCATTTTGAAGTAATGTCACACTTACAGAAAAGTTGCCAGATAGAACTTTCACAAGCCTTTTAACCCAGATTTCCAAATTGCCGACACAGCTATTACTCTCGTCTTCTGTCTGCTTTTTTGTAAAACATGTGGTTGGTGTTTTGTTTTGTCCTGTCACTCACACTGTGTAGCCTAGGCCAACTTGAAATTCATGATCCTCTTGCTTTCACCTCCGGAGTGTTGGGGTGACCATTTGGTATCCCAGTGTGTTCCCTAGAAGCCATCACACGTCTTGATTGAGCACAGTGCATCTGTCCACTGTGGGAAGATAGCATGCTACCAGGCCGTGATCAACTCTTACCTCTGTTTATGTTCACTAGCTACCCACCCACTGTGTGCAGTTGTCTTAGGTTTCTACTGCTGAGATAAAGATCATGAGCAAAGCAGTGTGAGGAGAAATGTTTCATCTCATCTCCACCACTGAGGGAAGTCAAGGCAGGAGCTAAAGCACAAGCCTTGGCGGAACGCTTCTTACTGGCTTGCTCCTCATGGCTTATTCAGCCTGTTTCCTAATGTAACTGAGGACTATCTGCATGGGGGTGGTACCCCTCACCCCAATTGCCTGGGCTCTCCTGTATCAACTATTGAACAAGAAAATGCATGACAGACTTGCGATCGGCAGTTCAATTGGGGGCATTTTTTTCACTTGAGATTCCTCAAGTTGACGAAATCCCCAATAAGGACAGAGGTCATCTCTGTAGTCCTTTGGTTCTTATTCTCCCTATACTTGACTGTGGCAGAGGTCCCTAGGCGTGTTTGGCAGAGTGGGTGCAGGCTCTCTTTCCATGGCTATCTGCTCATGCCTAGCCCCAACTTGGGCTGAGTAAGTAGGAGAGGATCAGTCACCACAATTGTAACTCCAAGCTCTTCCCAGTGTCCTGTCAGATCTTTGCTGTCCCTGGACTGCATTGGTGGTGATAGGTGCTTAATCATCAGTGACCAGGTTTTCCTAATGTAGATTCAGATCTGTGCTTTGTACCTGACTTGAGGGCTTGGTGGGGAAGAATGTCAAACCATCGTTTATGTTAGCATCTTCTGTTCTCAGTTACAGTTATTAATTGAACATGTTGTAAGCTGTGACCTCATTGCATCCCCCAATGTGGACAGTCTATAACGAGGATGTCAAGTGTACGCACAGACCTTGTGTCACTGTGATTCAGTGTGTTGTATTGACTGTTGGTATCATTGATTTGATGTCAGCAGAGGAACCTAATTTACTATTGTTTCTGTATATCCTGTCAGGACACCAGCCATGCCTTTTGCCTCCTATGGCCTCCACACTAGCCTCTTGAAGCGACACATCTCTCATCAGACATCTGTGAATGCAGACCCTGCGTCCCATGAGATCTGGCGGTCAGAAACTCTCCTCCAGGTAACAAAGCCTGGTCTCTGCTTCTGTTTCAAAACAGACTGCTTAGCTACCTTCTACTCTGAGAGGCAGAACCCCAAATGCCAGCAACTGGGTCTAAATGGCATTTTCTTGCTGTGGCATTTAGAAAGCAGATGAGGAGACACTGATGTATTCTTGTAAGCTAAACATCATGATTAGTATTTTCTGTCTCGGCTTCCCTTGTCCACAGTATTGTCCTCACAGGATCTGGTCATTCAGCAATCCTCTGGTTTCCAGCTGATCCATCTGTTCACGTGTGCCCTGCCTTCTCCCCCTCTGATTCTTCCTGTGTTGCTAGAGTTGGTTTCCAGTGATTTCCATCGCTAGGTGTCAGGTCCTGCTGCAGAAGTGTCTTGTGCTGTATAGTGTGGGCCCTCAGAACCTCCACTTGTGCTCAGCAGTGAGCTCCCACCATTGAGTAGGAGATGCACTCACTGAGTGGCCATGCCCTTTTCTATGTCCTGGTGTCTGGAGAGAATCAGCTGGTTCCAGTGCTGTGTTCTGAGGCTGGTGTAGTAGCCAGTGTTGCTCTTGACAGAGAAAACTGGATAGGCTGGAATTCAGTCCTCAGCTGTACACTAACCAGAACCCACCAGCCACCCAAGTAAAGACAAGGAGATTTTTTTAATATGAAATCTTGGCTTGAGTTTGGTAGACTCTCAGCTGTGGTTTTTTTTGTTGTTGTTGTTTTGTTTTGTTGGTTTTTCGAGACAGGGTTTCTCTGTGTAGCCCTGGCTGTCCTGGAACTCACTCTGTAGACCAGGCTGGCCTTGAACTCAGAAATCCACCTGCCTCTGCCTCCCAAGTGCTGGGATTAAAGGCGTGCGCCACCACCGCCTGGCTGACTCTCAGCTGTTGATCTAAGTAAACCCAATTACCTAGCTGTGTTCTGCCACAGACTTATTACCTCTCCTTAGTATTGGTACCTGTTTCTTCCTCCATGTCTGGCTGACAAATCTCCCGCCTCTGACTCTTTCCCAGAGTTCCTAGCTCTGTTGAGAAGTTCTGCTTATCTTCTCTTATTTTGCCATGAATTTTGCATTCAACTTTTTATTAAGCCAATCAGAAAGTGATGGAGAAGATGTTTATAGCACACCGAGACAGTCGATGCTTCATAGAAATAACAATACCAAAGTGGCCTATACTTAGCTCAAAAAATACCAAAGTGGCCTATACTTAGCTCAAAATCAGCATTTGAATAATGCAAAGACAGCCTTTATTCAGTGCAGGAGATTATCCCATAGTGTACTTCTGAAGTGTGGGCGGCTGCTTTTAGAAGCCCTGCTGCACTCCCTGTATGTCATTGTTGCCAGTATTCCCATAGGAGGCTATGTTGGTGCAGCTGGCTTGTGGACTCTGTGTGGACTCTGTTGCCATGAGAACAGATGACAAAGACAGAGCTAACAAAAGGCTTAGAGTATTCTGTTTCCTGAACCAGAGCACCAGCTTGTTTGCTCTTCCTTCCTTCCTTCCTTCCTTCCTTCCTTCCTTCCTTCCTTCCTTCCTTCTTCCTTCCTTCCTTTTGTTTGTTTCTTTTTCAAGACAGGATTTCTCTGTGTAGCCCTGGCTGTCCTCACTCTGTTAGACCAGGCTGGCCTCAGACTCAGAGATCGACCTGCCTCTACCTCCCGAGAGCTGGCTTGTGCTACCAATGCCCACATCTTAATTTTTTTTTTTTAAATGAAAAAGTTTTTAGGGGGCTGGAGAGATGGCTCAGAGGTTAAAAGCACTGACTGCTTTTCCAGAGGACCCAGGTTCAATTCCCAGCACCCACATGGTGGATCACAGCTGTTTTTAACTCTATTTCTAAGCAATCTGACACCATTATAGAGGCAAAACACCAATTCCTGTGAAATTAAAATAAATAAGTTTAAAAAAGTAAAAAATAATTATAGAAAAGTATGTGTAGTATGGATTTTATCATTTTTAGTTTTTTGAGACACTCTGTGTAGTCCAGGCTGGCTTAGAACTTCATATTCATGTACCTCAGGCTCCTATATGTAGTGTTGAGTACATTTGATTGCTGTGCATGTGTGTGTCTGTGTGGGTTTACGTGTACCACATGCATGTAGTTACATGCACGCAGAGTCAGGAGAGGGCGTCAGGTTCCTTTGAAGTAGAGTTACAGATGGATATAAGCCACTGAGTAGGTGCTGAGAGCCAAACCACTGCAGGAGTAGCCAGTGCTCTTCACTGCTGAGCCCTTGAGACTTCATGAGTTCTTTGAGAATTCAGTACAAGCATAGGATGCATTTGGATCGTATTTATCCCCACCATTCCTCCCAGACCCACCCCCATCCCCACATCTCTTAGCTTCCTATGCTTGCCCTTTCTTCCCTCCCTCTCTCCTACCTCTCTCCCTCCCTCCTTCCCCTGTTCTTTCCTTTTTTCCCCTTTGTAACTCAGAGGCCAGGCTGCATTGCCCATGTACTCATGAGTACGGGGTTATCCCCTTGGAGCTCAGTTGACCTACCAGAGGCACAACATTCAAGACCCTTATACACACACACACACACACACACACACACACAC